AAAAATAACTGTCACTGTCTAAAACTTTTGGTGCGAAATGCAACTGGGTCATTAGATGACGTAGAAAAACTGACAGTGCAGGAGGATAGGAATCGAACAATCCTTATCTCTATATAGTGTCCTTGGGTATAATTAACAATAATACTCACGTTTTTAGTTCCAGTAAAAATAATGGTCGAACGGCAAAAGTATCAAAATAATTAATCTGTTTCAAACCCGAGAAATAACTAGACGAAAGCCATGATTGATCGCTGCAAGCAAAACTGTAACTGGCACTACCAATTAAAAATCTATTTTAGGAATTGCAACTGTATTTTTCGCGTGACAGCTATCTGAGATTTCGCCATTTTCTTGGGTCGAAAGAATACAAAAAGATTTAATACAATGTCAGAAACTCAAAATCGTTAAAAATCCCATTTGTCGGAAATGATTCTGCTTGTCAGATAACCGAGATCAACTCTAAGTTATAGCTTTCGCTCTAGGTAATTCTATCGTAAAGTTTTTAGATTTTTAGAGTGGTCTATCAAGTTAAGATGACAAATTTATGTCTAGTACTCATAAAAAATCATATCGTTATAATATAATTCTACTAAATGATAGTGCTAGTTTTTGATATCACGATATGTATAAGTTAATTAAAAAAATATTGTACTATCGAAAAAAATGGCGTCGTAGGGAGCTTGGAAATGAAGATCGCTGTCATTTTATGCGTTACTTACTTGCAATTTATTTTAAATGCATAATTGATTAATTATATGACAAGCAAGCAACCAATAATTATTTTTTATACAAGACGATAAAATGGTATTATATCGTCGACCGAAATGTTAATACAATTTTATCGTTGTGTATAAAACAATATTTTTTTCCATAGCGAGTTACGTTTTAAAAAATATTCAGAAATTATTATTTCAAGGAATTTATTACGAGTAGAAAAAATATTGTGCTGGGTTGGCGTTGGTTTCTATGTAATTTGACAAATAAATAAAGCTGTCTCTTTAGTTGTCAGTTTTGAGTCAATATTTTTTTAATTCTCTTTTGTGTCGATTGCTGATTGAATTGGAGCCAGAAATGGCTCAAATCGAAATAGGTAAATTACCAACAGATATTCAGGCTGAGGCGACAAACGCCATATCCAAACCGCTTCCATTTAAATCCCGAATAACTTATAAAAAACGTGCGAGAAGAAATAAAGTTTTTAACCTATCCTCGCTGTTAAAGTGTCATTTAATCTACCCTTGCGGATAAAGGACAAGTTAAAGGGTACTATTTTATCTTTATTTACTATTTTTGATAGATATAAGAGACAATTTTAACAGTTGCTATGGAAAAAAACTTTTATATTTATGACTTAATTGATATATATGTACTTATCTTATTTAGATGTATCGTCCACTCAGTGCTTTAGTTTTTTCGTCAACATGGCCACCCAAAAGAAAGACATATTTTAACCAATATGACTTGTAGTTTGCATCTAGCACAGCATAACAACCAGTTTTTTTTTACCATTTTTGAATTAGGTGTGTGGTTTTTTCAAAGGATTTTTACGTAATAGCCAATTTCCAAATTTTCCTGTAGGTACTACTATCATCCTTTTTATTCACTAACACTGCTGAACTTGTTGCTTTATGGTTTTGTCTCATTTTCGGCACTGGATTTACACACAACATGGCATACTTTAACACATATGTGGTACTTTTAGTACATCGATCCCTCTTGTGATGTCTGAATGTTGCACGTATTTTCGAAAAAAACACTGGATTTCCTTTATAAGTTCCCTTATTCTTTCGTAGTACTCAGGATTATATAAGAACGACCCGACATTCTTAATCGCCTGTTTTTAACTAACTCTATTGAACGTAATATTTCCCACAACATATCATTCTCGTTACATAATATCTAGTAATTATTCTCTGAGTTATATAAGGTTTGTTCCAACCCGCCGCAGAACCGTGCGCAGTAATTCAAATATGTTCCAACCGAGATTTGACGGTTATCGGACTATTTGCGTACCAACCTAACTTAGGATCGTTTAGTTATGATTTCAAAACGGTAATTTCGGTACATGGTCCAAATTGAGAACTGTTTGGGTTGACTTGCGCATTAAAGCATATTGGCAGGGATTATCGATTTTTAACAGCTGATTCTGGTCCGGCGTCCGGCTGATGCTTCTGTATGTGCTTCTGGCTTGGTTATTTTTACAATTTCGAATATGTGTGCGTTATACTTTTGCTTGTGAGTGTGTGTGGAGTAAATCGTTCGGAAATTTTAATTAATTTTTTATATATAAAATAATGTTCAAAGATTCTACCACTGCAATGAAATAGCAGGAAACTACGCATAACAGGATCATTAAAAAGAGGATAGGTAAATGAGTTAGTGAGTATACAGTTGAAACAACACTTACCAACAATTACTGGATTCTGATTCTCCATTTCAAGAATAATAATTATTATTATTGCAAATTGCAAACAAAAATAATAGAGTTATGTTATGAAATTCTAAACAAAAACAAAAAACCGATCGATACACTTTTGACAGTCCAAAAACAATCCACAAAGCGTTCCAACGTTGATACTTTTTGCACCGGGAACAAACCTATAGTAATAGTCCAAGAGCCGTGTGCAAAAACAACAATAAATATATTGTTTTCACTATTACCTTGCAAAGTTGCAACCATCAGAAATCCCTTTTAGTGACAAGCATTTTTTAACAGCGCGTTTGAGATAGCGCTTACGCTTTGTGTCCCCATACTGATCTGTCTGACTGTTATATTTTTATTTTACATTGCATTCGAATGTTATCTACAAATTTTCAGCCTTCAGAAAACAGTTTGGAGGTGTTAATGAAAATTACACCTTTACGGGCTTATCAACGCCAAGTGTCCCGGAAATGCTGACTGTACCTTTCCTTTTTAACACTAAAATGCAATCGATTTTTGAAATATGAGCCTTCAGAAAACTCTTGTATGTTTTTGCTCTTGGACTAAAACGGACCTATGATTGCTCAATATAGCTTTTTAAGTAATAATTTTTCTATTAATTAAATCTGAGACACCTTCAATAACTTTCAAACGAGTGGATTAAATCCAAAATCATATCAGACCATTTTTGAAGATTGTTCAATTTCCTACAAGGTTGAACAAGATTGATTCCTACGCTGATTTGCTAGAACGCAATAGAATTAAAAAAAAACAGTGTTATTTAAATGGGAAATAGAAAATCACGATGAGACACATTAAAACAACTAAAACTTTACCAGAATTTTTTTTTCATCATTGAGAACGATAGTTTCACGGTAACTAAAAAGAAAAAAAAAATTTTTTTAGTGCACACTACTGATCAGTATAATTTTTATACATGTCTGAGAAACACTAGAGCGAAAAAGAGAGACTACGCAAATTAAAAATTTGTTTAGTGTTGTTTGTTTATAAGTTTATTTACACTTTTTTACAAATAGTAAAGAGGGAGCTAATGAATTTTCGCACTCGTGTTTTTTTCATCAGGTCCTGTTTAAGTCCGCTTACAGTACAAAGCGCTGTAAATGCCCAGACAAGCGAATAGTAAATTAAACACAATCCAACCGGAGATAAAATAAAAATTACTCGCTTTTCTCTCTGCCGGTGCGCTTTTTTTAAACAGCAAAAATGGATTAAATTCTGGAATATCCAGGGATTACCGAAAATTATCGAGATTACGAGATTATAGCTATATTCCTGTATCAGCGCTTGTGTAGTTAGTTATACGTTAAATACTTTTTGTTTAACTTGTTTTGTTGCAAGTAATTTTCTCCCAGACAACGGATATTGGAATTATAATTAGGTATACTGGGTATTTTTTATAAGTGGCTCATATCTATAACTTTTTTATTGTTTCAGATAAAAAATCGAAATTTGGTATATTAGTATATGACATAAATCTGGATTGACTGACGTATACATTTCGATCACTTCCTGTTCACCGGAAAAGACTAGAACTTTTGGCTTTTAAATGCTAGCCTCGCTATTTTTTTTTTTTTTGCTTTATTTGATAGAAAATTATATTTTGCATAGAATGACATATCGTATGTCAACTTTTGAAACTTAGGCTTAAAAAAATAGTATTAATATCAATCTAGAGTACCACGACAATAAATATACGACGATTGAACTCGAAACAGCAAGTGTGTAGTACAAAATTTTCCTTAAAAAATGCTTTTTCCAAATATGCTAATGAGCCACTCTCATTCCATTTAGAAAAATTGAGTTGTAATAAAATTAAAAATACGATTTGGGCATATTTTTACCTGCCAGAGAAAGACACAGAAAACATTAGACAATCAAATCTATTTTTCCAAGGCTCCTTGATCAAAAATTGGTGGTTTTAATGAAGCCATTACACTCTAGATTGATATTTAAAATACCATTTTTTAGTGAGTCATTATATTCAGAATGTCATTTTCTATAAAATAAGATTAAAAAACCGAGGGTACTATTGAAAAATCAAAAGTTGTCATTTCCTGTGAAACAGGAAATGATTAAAACTCATTGAATACGGCACTCAATCCTGTTTTTTTTTATTTTTTAACATACCAAAATAAAAAACAAACAAAATCTCTAAAAAATATTTACATTATTTATTTATTTTTTTATTCGGATTTTTTTAACTTTCAAAAACGTCATTTTACTGAACGTAAAATTAACTTTATACTTCATATCAGGTTACCCTCGAATTTGGAACACCCTATACAGCGGAGTTACAGCGATTTCCTACACTTTTTCTTTTGGTAATGCTTTCAGAAAATTAAACAAATATAAACCCTCTCAGAAACATAAAAAATAGGTACCTACTGTAATTATTTACAAAAGAAATTCATGAACAAAGGAGATACAAAGGTATAAACCCCATTTCCAGTCGCTTGAATCATTCAGCGTTAATTTTTCGCTACATTTCTCAACATTTATACTCCGAATAACCCTTCTTCGGTTTGTTTCAGCTTAATCCAAGGGCCGAAATCAACATCAAAAGGTCACTGGAGACCGACAGATAATCCAAAACCCATCTAAATATTTTAAATTCCATTTGGAAGCATCAAGAAACAAGAAGAGTGAGCTGTGCACTCTCGGAAACAAAAATAGAGAAAAAATAAGAGGATTGGAGTGATTTATAGTGGTTTGATTGGTCGTTGACGGTGTAAAACAAGCGAGGATCGCCGGATGTTCAACAAACTGTCACTTTCATGGTGGAGGACAGCGTTTTGTTGACGTGTAGGGATGGGCTGGCTTATGTTGTTGGCAGTGGTGCTAGCCCTACTAAAACTTTTAGGTAAGGATGTTTAACAAGAGGCTAAAATAAAAATATACAGGGTGTCTCAGGAATAAGTGCCAGTAAATCCTAGAAACACGCCTAAGAGTTTTTTTGGCGAAAAAAAAATTGTTAAAAATTTAAAATTTTTCTAAAAAACTTTTTAGTGCCACTTGTTTATTCACCTGAGATTTCTCTACGGTGTATCTAAACCTTGCAGAGTTGCAACCTCCTATTTTATCCACCTTCTACATAGTTCTATATTTATAAATTGACAGACAAATTTCTACACAAAAAATTTGGAATGTTAAATTTAATCTTTTATCAGTGTTCATTACTAATAATTCTAGAAAAAAAACACATTAATTGTTTTTAGTACTTACCCTTTCAATGAAAACTTAACAAAAACCACCGAATATTAAATAAAACATTACGTTTATGACGTTTACGAAAATCTTTGTTATGCTATAAAATAGCTTTATTTTGGAATAATGTAATAAGTATCTTTTTTTTTAATGTTGGGTAAGTTTTTTCTTATATCTTTTAATATAAAAATTTATTTTGTGTAATAATATTATCACAATCTTAAAAATGTAATGCATCTCTGCCATATCTGTCAAACTCTTCAGGTGGTGTGAGTTTATGACTTATTTTTAAGCATATACTTTCTTGTCCATATGGCAACACAGGGCGTCGAATTACCTGAGATCCGGGCTTGATCCTGGTAATTCGAGGTAGTTAGCGATATCTGCCGGCGGTTCTCAAAATGTTGCTATTATTTTTTTAAATTTTTAAAGTTAAATACCTCGGTTATTTTTAATTTATTTTAAAAATAGTAAAAAGAAAAAATGTTTCTTTTGACCAGATCTACCACCCCTTCAAATACTTGCACTTATTTCTGGGACACCCTGTATAGAAGATAATAAATATGAATATTTAGGAGTTACACAAGGAACTACGGAACAACCTTCGGAACAGTTGCCCCAAAGTACTCCGTCGCCAGTGCCGGGTATACCGGGTGGGGGCATTGGGGGCATACGGCGGACCCTCAGCGGTTGGCGAGAATGGAGAAGAGCGGATCCCACGTTGATCAACAGTCTGTGGCGGAGCAAGATGGGAAATGGTATACGAAAACAACTAGGTAAGAAGAAATGATAATATATTTTCTTCTTTTCCAGTATTTTTTGTATTTCTTATAATATAGGCTACAAACTTACAGTAAAATCAGTTATTAGAAAACAATAAACTGTTGATTTCTAACCATATTTTAACGTAAAAACTCAGGAGGTATTTTGACAGACAGACACCATGAAAATATTTTGTATTTAGGTCATTTATGACCCAAATAACTCATTTTGAGTGAAATTAAAAAACTTTTTTTGCCGATCTTAATAGCCTACCATACCTGTTAGTATAGTCGGCTAAAAAGCCTTAGTTGTTAATTGATATAACTTTAGAACTGATAAGTTTACGAGAATAATTAATAGAACCTTGCGTAGAGAATTTAATTTGCTTTATTTTTGGTTACCTGCGTTTTTTTTCTACAATGCACCCAGACCGTGATATTTTAAAAAATCCATAAAAATGTAGTTTTTGTATCGACTTTTTCAAAATGGCGGCCAAATCCGGGATCGACAGACCGTGCAAAATGAATATATCATTCAGCACATCAAAACAAAGATAATAAAAATAATTCAGATTGCCCCTAATTATTTCCACCTAGGCCTAATTAAAACGACGTACCGACTGGCCTAGCTGGTGAGTGTAGAATATGTTAAAAAAGGAGCCGTCGCGAAATAAAACTATTAAAACTAATAAACTACTTTTGTGCACTCTGATTATCATTATATAATCGAACACAATTGTAAAATCCCGTAATCTCTGACAGAATATTTTTCAAATATGTGGCTTCCTTAGAAGCTTCAGATAGAGCCATATACTCGGCTTCCGTACTGGAAAGAGCTACAATTCGTTGTTTTCTGCTCTCCCAAGGTACTGCTGATCCAGAAAGTTTCAAACAGAATCCCGTGTACGACTTTCTGTCAAAGGAGTTACCTCCCCAATCTGCATCTACAAAACCTTCTAGATCTTCATTATCTTTTACAAATTTCAAGCCATAATTTTTAGTATGTTTTAAATACCTTAACACGCGTTCTGCCTGCTTCCAATGACTTTCATTGTGACAATTATTGAACTGACTTAAATAACTAACCGAATATGCAATATCAGGCCTGCTAAGTACTGCAAGATACATTAAACTACCAATCAACTGTTGATAAGGCAAATCCCTTTCACATGTATCTATCTCTCTAGTAAGATTAACATTTGTCTCTATGGGAGTTGTCACAGTGTTACATTCAATCATATTAAATTTTCGTAATAATTTATCTATGTATTGTTCTTGATCTAAAATAATACTATGATTACTTTTATTAACAGTAACTCTCATACCGAGACAATTTTTAATCTGCCCTAAGTCCGTAATTTTAAAAATCTGCCCTAACTTACATTTCAAATTTTCTTCCTCTGCTTGGTCATTCGAGAATATAAAGAAATCATCAACATAAATCGCTTCTACTGTTAAAGAATGCCCTTTTTGTTTCGTATACAAACAAGCCTCAAATTTCGATCTATTGTATCCCGTATTTCTTAGAAATTCGTCAACTCTGATATACCAAGCCCTCGATGACTGTTTAAGCCCATAAGTTGTCCTTTTTAATTTTAAAACCTTATTTTCGCACCCACTTGTATTATACCCCTCAGGCAATGCCATAAAAACATTCTCTTTTAAAAACCCATTTAAAAAAGCTGTTGTTACATCTAGATGAACTATGTTTAAATCTAACTTAACTGACAAAGTCATTAACAATCTTAGAGTATAACCGCTTCAGCCCAGAACAACTTCTCTAAGCCCCCATCGAACAACAAACATTTGGCTTTTTCAACAATTGTTCGATTAAGCCTTTCAGACATGCCGTTTTGTTCCGGTGTATATGCATTTGACTTTTGGTGAATAATACCACTGTTTTTTAAGAAGTTTTTAAACTCTCTCGAACAAAATTCACCGCCATTGTCGGATCTGAGCACTTTAATCTTTTGATTCGTTTGGTTTTCAGCCATATTTTTAAACTGTTTAAAGCAACCAAACACTTCGTCTTTAGTCTTGATGAAGTAGACAAATGCCATTCGACTGAAGTCATCTTCAAAACTACAAAGTATTTCGAACCTCCCAAAGATCTTGTCTCCATTGGACCGCAAACATCGGTATGTACAACTTCTAGCAACTTCTTTGCTCTGGTACCCTTGTGCTTAAAAGGTAATCTGGTCTGCTTACCTTCACAGCAAATCTTGCAATTTTTTGTACTTAATTGCACTAAACCTTTAAAGGAAAGTCCATTCACCAACCCATTCTGCATTTTATTCAGATAATCACTATTACAGTTGAGGGTTGGAACCTTTGGTGTTAAACAGCAAAATAAAAACACTAAATCACCACAATACACCAAAACACTTTTACTTTTACACTGGACGCGCGTTTCGCTAACCATGTTAGCATCATCAGCAGATGATTATAAACTCAAAATTAAAAAAAAAAAAAAGTTTATAATCATCTGCTGATGATGCTAACATTGTTAGCGAAACGCGCGTCCAGTGTAAAAGTAAAAGTGTTTTGGTGTATTGTGGTGATTTAGTGTTTTTATTTTGCAGATAATCACTATTTATATGTCCAAATCTTCGATGCCAAACTTCTCCTGGAATAGTTGATTGTGTCAATAAACATTTTTCAGACTTAAAAATGTTCAATTTATACACTCCATCAACTAAATCAGCTGTTGCAAATGGTTCCTTCTGCTTATTATATATGGTGCAACCATTGTTGTTAAATTTAACTACATTCCCATTTTTTATAAGCTGACTTACTGACAATAAGTTTGTTGTCAATTCAGGAACGCATAAAACATTTTTCACAGGTATATCGTATTTACGATTTCCTACTCTAGTAGTGATCATAACTTCACCAGAACATTTCGCAGGTACTCTTGTTTTATTGGCCACAACTATTTCCGGCACACTTGCACTAATCTCGTTCTCTTTCCAGTCATGTCTAGCTGTCAAGTGAACACTAGCACCAGAGTCTACGTACCAGTCCGATTTGCAAAAGTTACCATTTAGGAATACCGAACTAAATGCATTAGAGTTATTAGTCTTATTAACGCTAGGCCATTTATTTTGATAATGACCTAACTTTTTACACTTGAAGCACCTTATTGTCTTTTTGTCGCCCGATTTATGAAAATTATTGCCTTTGTTACTGCTTGGCTTACTAGCATCGAAAGCACTTCCGCCACCGCTGTCAAACTGCATATTCAATAACTTGGTTTTTATTGAGTCCGTTGTTACAGCAATACCGGAATGTTCTATTGCCATAATCATGGGTGAGAATTTTTCCGGTAATCCCGCTAGCAGCAACGATCCGACCCATTCGTCATCAATCTTAAAACCAGTCCCACGCAATCTCTGACTTGTCTCCATGATTTGATTGACGTAACTCGCCATCGAATCACAACCATCTAAACGGGTAGAGATCAGCGTTCGCAATAATCCAATTCTCCTGGCAAAGCCTTTATTGTCGAAAAGTGATTTTAACTTTTCCCACAACTCGACTATTGTCTTCGCGGACGTGTCGATTGTTAAAATCAATTTGGCCTTTGCCTTGGCGTCTTCTGCTTCCAGAGCTTCTGATAGACATTTGGACAAACCTTCCAAAATCAAAAAATTCTCGACCGCAAACGCCCACTCCTCATAGTTCTCCCGTCCCTTTAACTTAGAAACATTAACTATGAAATTTCCAGCCATACTTGTGTTATGTTACACTAAACACTACGAAAACAACCAAATTTAAACCGTTTTATCGCGACTTTTTTTAACGAAACCCGACGTACTGGGCCCATAACCTGTTAAAAAAGGAGCCGTCGCGAAATAAAACTAATTCGTTGCATTCTCAACACAGACTAACTTTACTTTCAAAAAACATCTTATAACTAAGAGACCATAAAAGTAACAATAAAAAACATATGGTCCAACTTTCCCTTAGAAGACAAGGGTTGAGGCCGTTGAGGGTCACCCATAAATTCCATGCAACACTGGCGTGTACAATATTTTGGGCTACATTTCAACAGAATAGACATCACGATTTCCCAATTATGACAGTTCTTTTTGGCGTTTCAATTGAAGTTCATATTGAAATTTCAATTGAAGTTCTATAAGAACCCATTTTTAACCTTTTTGATAAGTTGTTGGTCAAGCGAGATACACTAGGTATTCATTTTTTGAAAATCACGTCAGTTTTTTTTTCATTTCAAAAACATCAATAAGTCTTTAATAATTTATCGATAAATTTTAACTTACACTTAGTCAGTTTTTTTATTACCATTCAGAAAAAGTCCTAAACAAACCAAAAAACGATTAATCACAATTTACCACGACGAAAAAAACATAATTAATTACACTGAACATCATCGCCTTGTATTTGCTGTAGGTTCACATTTCTTTCACATCCCTCGATGAAACTTTCCTTAATAGCATCGACGATTTTTCTGTGAAACCCCGAGAAAAAGAGGGCAAAGAATGAAGGAGACACCCTTTGATTTAACCATTAACCTATATATCTTGGAAAGAATTAAATAACGAACGGGTGGTCTTGAAAATACCGAATGAATTATTGACATCGTCAAGGACTTAACGAGGGGCATTTTTATGCAAACAAGAAATAAAAATAGAATGGCGTATTCAGTAAACAGCCTTTGGGAGATAAATTTTGCGAAAGGAGTTCGACAAAAAGCGTCAAAGACTTTTTATGGATAATGAGATAAAAAAGAAAAAATTTGCCTTTAAATTATTTTTTGTTTTTTTGCTCGAAATGGATAAATATTAGGCAGACGGGCTGAAAATGTAAAAATATTATTTTTTGTAATTTTTTGGTGCTTTTAAGAACAAAAAAAGTTTTAAAATGCTCTAAAATGTATAAAAAATTGTTATTTCGAAAAATCTATTTAAGAAATTTTATTTTGTCACAATGTGTAATGTCAGACCCCTCTTGTATACCCTATCTTACGACTGAAGGAAGATTTATATACCCTG